GGTTCAGCGCACACACAGTGGCTATCACCAGTTCAGCCGACTGAGCTAAGCTGCTGAATTGCAGCACCCACCACTCTAGCTCGTAGATGAAAGTAGATCTGCAAAATCTAGTGTATGCAGGCAGATGGTAAGAATTTGTAAGAAGCAAGTGAAATACTGCAGTACAACAGGAAGCCAATGACCTGGTAGTCTAAGTGAAACATTTCATTTTCAATTCCTCCTCAAAATAAAGTCAAAGTCAAATTTATTCATTCATAAAAAAGGAAATGTCATTGCTTGTTTACAGTATAGAAATAAATTCTTTAAAATTTTGATCAAAACTCAAGTTTCCAAAGTCCTTGGCCTTACATTAACCCTACATCATCAAAATTAGACATTACACAAATTTTCATACAGCATTTTTAATTTGGCTAGAGAAAAGTTTAACCTTTAACCCATATCTTATTATTTTTTAAATTCTTTGTTAAAAATCATTATTACTAGAGGTACCTGCTATCTATAAGACACTAAAAAAATACATTAATATTACCTATTATCTAAACAAATGATAATGACAGATATAAAGACAAAACACTGAATACCTTCATTTTTTCTTGCAACTGTTTGTAAACTGCACCAATTATTAACCGAGGAGCTGAAGATAAAAAAAATAGAAAATACAAAAAGTCAAGAAGTTAAAAAAAAAAGAAGGGATAGAGATAACTGTAATAGAATGGCACTTACTCAATCCTATCTTGTCTGCAATTCCATATACTATTGCTGGTCTTACTATCATGTAGTTCAACCTGAAAATAATTAAAATTTAATACGCGAGTTTTCAAGACAAATGTTTGACAATTGCATGAAGCTTGACTACTATTGCCCCGGTGAACAATCATGGGCGTTGATCGTGGGGGACACGCTTATTCCCCACATTTTAAAGTAGGGGTGGGGGGGGGGACATTCAGGAAAATTTGTTATTTTCTGTAATAAAACATAAAAGGGAATCTTAAATCTTAAGCAGCATATATTTAGCCAGTAATCTATTGCAACCAATACAATGCCCTACAATACCAATTCTTCTTGACGCCATTTTTGCACACCCACACAACCATCCCACCCCCTTCCCGCCCACACCAGTGGTAATACTAGCTATGGCCCTGAGTATCATCATTATCATCATGGCAACTGCTATCATCAACATCATTTAAGTCATAATCTTTACTTACCCTTCAATGCTACGTAATTCCTCCTCCACCATCAGCTTGTACTTGGCGATCCCCGTCCATGGCGAGGCTTTAGAATCCTCATTACTGGCTTTCTAATGAATAACAATAGAAGAAAAATAAGTAGGAGGAGTATGTCAGTGTGAATCACACCAAGGATAAACCACTAAGTTCAAAGACTTTGATTTTTTTAATATCTTTTATTTGTAACCAACACAGTGTGGTAGCACCAGTTTATACAGGGTCAAATTATACAGGGTCATACCATTGATTAATTGTCTCCTTTTCGCAGTCAATTAAGTATACAGTAATCATTTGTTATTAGGCCTACTATACACAGATTAAGAGGTAGAGCAGTATTATATCTTTTTAAATATAAAGGATGCCCAAAAAATGAATCATAAAAAATAAAGTTGACCAGGAAGTGTTTACAAAAACTGCTACATCATTTCAATTTCCCCTTTCTCAGAAAATAATACAGTGATAGAATTCCAAAAAGACTAAACTCATATAGAAAGCCAAACTCAATTTGATTCTAACATTCTAACAAAGCATGGTGTTTTCGTTTGGGATTATAAACTTTTATGCATGTTTGTTAGTAGTGTTGTAGTTTGCTGGTTGAGACGCTTGAGTACCTAAAACCAACCACCATTCCTAAACCTCTCAGAGACAATTTATAGAAAATAACATAGTATTCCAATAAACAATATGAAAGAATGAGTAAAGTGGAGTTGAGTAGCTTGGTGGTTAAGATGCTTGCCTTCCAATTCCACGGCCTTGGGTTCAATTCCTGTCAGTTTTGCAGGATTTTTTCTCCGACCAAAACAACTCCACTCCCTAAATCTCATTTTGAGATTTAGTTTGTGTAAAGCATCATGTGTGTATGTTTGTCTTGTGAAAGGCATTGTCCTCTACAAGTAGGACAGTGATATATTCGCTATTGACAATCCTTGGCACATGTATTGTGTGCCTAAATAAAAAATAATAATAATAATATTATTAATAATAATAAAAATATTATTTATCAATGAATTACCAAATGTCGAAAGCTTGTGAATTATGATACTAATATTTAACAAATAAATAATGAAAACTATTCTTAAAATACTATAGGATATTAAAGTTGAAAATTAGTACTGGTACATAAAATAGGCTGTGAATATTGTTCTGTACGCAAGTCCCAGGTACTGATTGGAGGAGCTACTGGTACTGGTATGGGAATTTATAATGCACCTCTTCCCTGAGGTTATAAAGCACAGTTCTTTTACCTGGTTATTGGGTCCACATGCTTTAAGTGTTGCTGATGGTAATCAGCGCAGGAGAAGGCAGCCCCACCGGCTACCCATTTATACACCTGGGCGGAGAGAAGCAATGCAGATAAAGTACCTTGCTCAAGGACACAAGCGAAATGCACAGCGAAGGATTGCAAGCCACACATTTGGGAACCCAAACCGTTGCCACTGCGTCAAACTTGCCTCTACAACAATAGCTACAACCTTAAACTTCAGTGTCAATATCCTAATGCAGTATGGCAACAGTTCCAAACCTGGGGTTCACAAAAAAAATTGAGGGTCCACCAAGTTAAATGGGTTCACAATGGTCCATCAGCGATTTTACTCTCAGACCCTGACCGACTGGATCAGGATGGCCCCTTGGTTCAGACCACCCTGTCGATCTTAGGACCCCCCCCCAATTGGCAAATTTCAGTGGAATTTACTATTTTGTTAACACATTAGACATTCCAATTAAGAATATGTTGTGTAAATGAAAACAGGACAAAAATATATGTTTGAGAAATATGCACATATTATACAATAGTAACTGCGAAAATAAACACTCAACGGTTGTTAAAAACTTCTAAGATCTCTTGAAAGTGTGTTTCAGTTTTGTTTTGAGAAAAGGTCACATATTTATGCAAGACATACTGTAAGTAACAAAGAGATTCTATGTGTAAAGAGAGAAAAAATAATCTTAAATACCAGTCAAGATTGTTATGTATCATTCTTGGATGTAGATGTCATTGTTGTTATTATTATTGTTACTAAGATATTCATCATTAATACCATTGTTTTTATTATTAATCTTTCTGTGAAATAAAGATGTTTTTTCCAGACATGCATAAGTAACCTCATACATATTCTTTGGTGCATCTCATTTTGTAGTATAATTTTTGTTCCCTAGAACAAATTATGTTTTGAAATTGAGTGTCATTTCAGTTGTTGAATAAAGTTATATAAAAATATATCTTTATATTTATAATAGAATATTTTGTTTTCAATTCTTAAGTTTGCGTTGTCAGGCCCGCAGGCTATAGTAATTTATTACTTTTGACCTTCCTTGCCATCTTATGACTTGATTGTACTGCACTTTTAAAGTTGTTTTATAATGGCACAAATAAAATGAATGAATGAATGAATGAATGACTGAATAAAATAAATGAATAAATAAATGAATGCGTATATGAATGAATTAATTGAATGAATGAATGAATGAATGAATAAAATGAATTAATTAATTATTTTAGTCACTCATCATTTTCATCTTGTTTTTCTTTCTTAATTTTCTTATACTTTGTAAATATTATTCCTTGTTGTATCTTTGTGAGCCAGCAGTTTTTTTATGTTTTAAAATAATGTACTGTATGTATATTATTTGTAAACATGTACAACTATATGTAGGTATGTTTAATACAGACTGCAGACTAAACACAACCAGTAAAAATAATATCACATAATTGGCTTGATGACCATGAATGAAGCTGATTGGTTGATATCATTGGTCATTATCTTTTAATATCATTTGTGTTATTATATTATTATAGGTTTCCTTGTTGACAATGAATCATAAAACAATATAGCAATGTATTTCTTGATAAATATGATAAATTTACTCATTCAAATATTCATATTTCTATCTATTCATTCATTTATTCATTAATTCAATTCATCTATTCATTTCATTTAGATATTCATCCATTCATTTAGATATTTATCCATTTATCTATTCATTCAGATATTAATCTATTTTCTATTAATTAAGATTTTAATCTATTTATACATTCATTCATTTATCTATTTATTCACCCAAGAGTATAAGTGGTTACCTGGTAGGGTTAAATGCCAAAATTAGCTGCTGTAATGTTATGGAATTCTTCCCCAGATGTAGTTGCTGTAATGTTATGGAATTCTCCACCAGATAGCTTGAAGTTGTGTTCCGTAGGCATTTAATACAATGATGTGAAGCGAATAGAGTGCTTAACAGTATGCGTTATATAAGTCTACCATTGATTTTATATTATTTAACCAGTCATTTAATCATCTCTGCATCCATCCATTCATCTCTAAATTTGTCTGTCTACCCATCTTTCCTCTTCTTTCAATTAAATCAATTATCAATCTATCCCTCTTGCCATTATTCTTTTACCTCATTTTACCATTTATTTTTTCATCCCTTTTTTCATTCTTCTCCCCATCCAAATTTTCAAATATTGTTCTGTGTCTTTCCATCCACCTTTTCATCCATCTTCCACCTAAGCTCAAATTACCTTGTCACTATTGTACACCTGTCCTGTGGATACTTCAATGTAAATCTTAATGCTTCTCTTTGCAGCCTCCCTGGCACAGTTCAAACTTAAGTTCAGGATGCCTTCCTTGTAGATCTACAATTTAAAAAACTTTCAATTTCATCTATAAATTCCACATAATATATTCTATATCAATTCAAACATATATTTCGATTTCTCATAAATGTCAGGTAACTGCTTGATAACTTAATTTAATAAAGCACAGAGAATATCTAGTTAAAACGATCACAGGTGCTGTACAAAATTTAAAAGAGAAATTTACAACAAAATCAGTACTCAATATATAATATACATTAAAAGTTACGAGTTAAGATATTGTGATTACTATGTTTATATCAATACATATACATAAATATTTATAGTATATATATCTGATTAGGAAGTTTGATGCACTTTTGTTTATTTTTTATTGTATACACAATTAACCATACACTATGTACATTCATCTTAGTTCACTAAGGAAATTCCTAGCATGTATCTAATGCATCGGTTGTAAATTACAATTAAACCATTCACCCCATCCCAGGTTCCCATTTATAGTCCTGGGAACAAAGAAGAAAAACATAAAGTGCATTTTGGGTCGAAACCCATAGTTTGGAATGTGTGGCCACAAGAAGGTTAGACCCATTGAGGCTCAACTAGGCCCTTAATGCAGGTTGCCAAAATAGCACAAGCTAACAACATAATCTTTCTCATTCCCGGTCACCAAATGAACCTACTGTATGCCTGCATAACATAAATGTTGGAATTTCTGAACGAGATAATGATATTTTATTTCTTGAAAAAAAATAAAACTTCCTCTATATTTGTTTAATAATGAAGCATTAAATTTGTTTATACACAATGTACTGTATCTCTGAAATTGAACACCGAGACCTATTATCCAAAAATGACTCTGGCGACTCCCTTCCCAAACCCATGGCCCTGGAATAGAAAGACAAGCATTTAATCACCAGGCTAAATCTTCAGTCTACTAGTTATCATCATCTTATTTTTTGTTTTGTTTTTGTTTACCTCATCTGTCTGTCCGTATTTGGTTTCAGCTGCTAAGTTGATGACGGCGTCAAACTCACTGCCATCATCTGTCTCAAAGGCTTTGGCTGTTGATCCTAATGTCAGTAGAGGTATATAACTAACTTATTAAACCATCTACATATTTGTAAAACATTTCAAGAGCACTGCATGATTTACCAAGCAGCGTCAAACTTAATGCATATTATTACTGTACAAATGAATACTCTAGGGGAAAAATTCATGATTTTAATCTCAACAGAGACTTTTATGTATAAATTCAGTCAGTCGTTTATGATTCATTCAGTGGCAGATTCAGTGGGTGGCAAGAGTGTCGCTCACCCTCCCACACCCCTTCCCCCAACTCTATCACCTGCTACAGCCACAAAATCTCTAACACGTGTGAAATTATTAGATATACAATTAAAATGGCTAAAACTTTCCCCCTAGACCCTCACAATCGGTAAGAAAATAAAAACCCAACTTTCCAAACCCTTCATGCCAAGTCAACCCCCACACTCATCAGGGGTGCATCCAGTAGGGAGACTCAGTGGCACCTCCACCCACCCCCCACCCCATTTTGTCACCAAATTCTTAAAATGTCAATACATATCAATGTTATGCGCTACTCACTTATCTATTCTTAAACTGCTGAACATCCGTCTACTCCTACCACTTCCTTCATCCATCCATCCATTCCCCTTACACCCTCTCCTTCTCACCCACTCCCTCTCCATAAACTCACTACCTAATTGATCTAAAAATAACCACTTTACTCATCATTCAATCAATAGTTATATTCATACATATTATACTGTGCTTTGGATGCCAGCCAGAAGAAAGCTTTAATGATTTCTACAAAAATATTTCTATGAATTTTCCAACTACATGATTTTTTTTATTATGTTGCACTATAAAAATATATAGCCATATAAAAATGGTTAATGGTTACATTATATATTTTTATATGTTATATATAAATTTTTTTACCATATATAAATGGTTAATGACTAATTTTTTTTTATAAATAATGGTAATATATAAAAATATATAGCCATAATGATAAACCATTTTATATTGCGCCATTCTCATATTATTAAAAAATGAGGCCTGCCACCCCAAAACTAGTGACTGAGTAATTAGCACAAGAATGTGGTAGCTATTGTATAATTCAGAAGCTATAATAATTTTACTCATAACTTTGGCAATAGTCAATCAATTCCAGTAAGTGACATATCATTTCAAAGCTTATATGCCTAATGTGGAGAATATATTACACATTTCTTTTTGTTTTTGTCAATGATGCTGATTTTGGCATGGCAAGCTTCAAATACGTGCAATTTGCCAAATCATAGTTAGTTTCTTGGAATTGTGATAATAATGATACATCAGCACATTGGCAGTAAACATTTGTAGTCATTACTGTACCTGCATTGATCAAATTACAGGAAACAAATTCCACTTGTGTAAAAACTTCCTGTAAGTAAGAACGAAAGAGATTACTAATATTCCAAAAAATGATTTTACACTTTTTCAATTCTGGGACGTTCAATGAAAACCCTATGTTCTGTTTTACAAACAGACATAGTAAGTCTAGTTATTATTGATATTATTATGACAGCGATATTACTATTGCTACTACTACAGTAGTACTATAACTACATAGTGTTATTGAAGCATCTGTAAATCAGGGTCGGTTCTTAGTCAGCAGTTGTTTTAAATACTAACATTTTTTTAATGCTGGCCTAGGCCATAACATGGATTTCAGTAACAACAATCGATCTCACAATGCATTTTGGTACCTATGGTTAGCACAGTGGTAAATCCTAGTTATAGTTTCAAACAGCATTAAAAAATGTTCAAACTAATTGTAAAATTATTTATAAGAGAATGATTAAAGTGGCTAAAAATCAGAAGCTTCCAAAGGACATAAGCCATCTGGACCCCGCAATAGGGGTGAGAAAAATCCTTCAACCCTGCTGATGGGATCGTAGGTTCCATGCTTCAGGCAAAAGGCAGGGTGCGGATTCAGGGGAAATGGCGACTAGGGCACCATCAAATAAAAAGAAAGAAAAAGAAAGGAGAAAGAGCAAAACAGGTTAAATTTCGATTAAAATTCCATGGTAAGCATATCTAAACAAATATCACCCTCCCTCCCACGCTAAAAATGGATTTGAACCCAAGACCCTGGGAATCGAAGGCAGGCATCATAACCTCAAAAATATAGTAGTCTCTCTAAAATAGAACTTCTTACAGAAGCTTTTTAAATGAGACTATGTTAAACAGAGCATTGTACATCACTTCAAATGTATTTTCCCACATTTAATTTGTGGGTATTGATGTGTGCACTAGAAATAAAATTGCAACAACTAATGTTACACATGAAAAGATTTGGTTCCAAGTCAAAACACAGAGCTGCAGGGAAACTAAGTTACGCAGTCTACCGAGACGGTTTCAGTTTCTAATTCCATATGGTACGGAAACCAATAATTACTAAATACATTTGCAATGTGTTTATATTATTAAAAATAATATTAATACCAAAAAGAAGAATGCTGCATAAATATATGTTTCATATTCATGTATATGAATGGCTTCTTTTATTAAAAGGAGATATTATTAACTGATTCATTTAAAAACACAGGTTTGAAATAAACTGATTATAAACAGAAATTACTAATTAATTTTAGTTTAGACACTCCCCTAAAATTTTACAAACATACATGTATATCTAAATATAGCCTAAACTACTTTAAAAAATATTATTTTATCAACCATACCCACGTCATGGGAGGACCATATTCCCATGGTGGGCCTGAGAGGTAGTGTAGGTCTTGATTCAATGTTTTGGTAGGGCCCTGCTTGATCTTGGATCCATCCCTTTAAGGATTGTGTAGTCCTAATCGATTTTAAATGTATTTTTATATATTTACCTTTATATGTGATTTCCTTATATTTGTATGTATGCTCTCCTACAGGACATTAGTAAAGTGTGATTTGTATAACTGTTTCTAATACAGAAGATTATCTAATATTAATAAGGATATTAATAATATTTTGGTGAGTAGTAATATGGACTTGCTATACTATAACCCCATATAACTTATTTTAAGAGCACCTAATATATTTAGTGTAGCTTGGAAGTTAAGACATTTGCCTTCCAAGCCCGTGGTCGTTGGTTCAAATCCTGTAACAGTGGCGGAGTGACGAGTTGTGGGGTCCCAGGGAGAAAAAGTGTTTGGTCCCATGAAAGTTTAAACGTATTTGAAAGGATTCGCTAACCTAAAACCATTATAAAGGCTAAAAAGACTGCAATCAAGGCAATGTCAATATAGTTAAAAGAATAATTATACAATTATATTGTGATTCAACTTTTACTTTCACAAACCCCAGGGACCCTTTGGACAGGGAGCCCTGGGGCTTCGCTCCCCGAGAGCGCATAGGCGTTATGCCACTGTCCTCACATTGGCTCCCAAGTGGACAGGTTTCATATTGTAAATAATAAAATATATATTTACATAGGACGATCTGTGTAGTTATACTTTTTGTAACTAATCATTTGGGACTCTCACAATGAACGAACAAAAATGATGAATGAATTAAACATAGAATCAAAACAACACCTTTCATGGGATATTTTTTGTACCCGTTCCACTGAACCATGTGACTTATTGGGACTGACTTACAGTACATGTTACAGGAGGCAATACTGGTAATAATGCCCCACAATAAGGAAATCCATTCCAATACTGATCCCATTAAACAAGACTTTTCTTTTTTCCTTGAGATTTACATTTCAAGAATATGTTATGAATATTCTAACAGATGGTAGAAATTAAATAAAACTTTCATTATGGAGTTCCTGACACTTCTTAAGCAACTGACAGATGACCTAATTTAAAATATTACTGTAATGCGCTCTCAACTGATTTGGTTAGGCTTCAAGTGTATCGTGAGTCTAGGTTCATGGTTTAATTTCTTGTCCGTTTGCTATCGTTATTGTCAAGCGCCTCGAGGTTGGTTCAATGGGAGGCGCTGTACCCACTGCAAATTATTATTACAATTATTATTATTAAATTTATTATTATTACCCTGCAATTGGATATATTGTACAGAATAATTATTGCCTCATTCAAGCACAATCTACAGCTGAAGGTGCAGAAGTAAACATTTTCCAAAATATATCATTTATAAAAAATAACATTTTAAAAGTAATTATTTGAAAAATTTGACTAAAAAATAGAAAAAAACAATATATTGAAATGCAGAAATATATGGTTCATTATTATTTGTCATTCAGTTTTGGTCAAATCTTTTTTAGTCTAAATCATGATTTCAATCCTATCCTTGCCTACACTGCAAGGTGAATCTACTGTTTGTAGAACAGAACATGTGAACATTAGCTAAGTGTCAAAATACTTAAATGAAAAGTGGATTTTCGACTACCTTGAAAAATGAGCGATTTTAGTGACATATTATAAACCCTACATATATAAAGTATATTTCAAGTAAGAATAAGTAATTTGTCAAAAATTTGGATCACGTTTCCATTGTGCTGAACGCCAGCATCTCTATTGTTACACACTGATTCAATTTTTTGATCGGTTCGGTACAGAATTATTCCCGACCTGAAAATTTGGATTTGGTATGAAGCATGTTTGATGTTGTGGGCCCAATCTCCAATGCTCAATCTTTAATACCAAAATCAGAGAGGTTGTAAAAATCTTAAAAGATTGCTAAATATTGATTCAGTGTGCAGACCTAATATTATTTGATTCCAACTTCCTTATTGTAATTTTATAACATTTCCTTTTTTTTATAGTTTCAATAAGTTTGTCAAACTGACAATGTTGTCATTTGTTCATCTAAGACTTCTAAAAATAAGTTTTCAATATAATTTGTATCATATATTGTCGACTGACTAAACACAGATCGTGAGCTTTGGCACAATTGCTGTTTTATTTTGTGCAAAGATACAACCTTTCGTGATATTTTATAACATTTCCTTGTGATTTTTCTTTGCTTTCATGGATATGTCAACAAAATATCAATGTCACTCATTAAAATTCAAACCCTAAAGTACTTGGTTCAACTCCTGTCCAAAATACGGGATTTTTTTTCTAGAAATAACTTCATTCCAAGGCTTAGAATAAGTCTTAGTTCTGGAACATCTTGTGTGTATTTGTCCTGTTTAAGAAGAATTTTTTAATCATCTAATCATGTAGCATGTAATTTTACTTGGTGATTAAGAAGTGTAAGGCATTAAACATAAGGGCATGTGCAGTAAACATTTAAAATTTATTTGGTGTAAAAACCTAACATAAACTTGATAGAGTGGTGCTACAGCATACATTATATAATTCTCAATAGCAATCACAGCTAACAAATCTCGAATGCAAACATTTTACTCTGTAAAAAAAGACGATTAGGCCTACACTGCTGAGGTCATGACCTTTCTACAACAGTACTAATATTAATGCTTACCTTGTGGAAGTCATTGAACCATGCAATTTGTGGTGGAACCTTATCAGCTACACGCACCTGCAACAAGATTTTTTTTTTCTAGAGATGATGTCATAATTTTCAAGGATATTTTAAAAATATGTTATTTCTATTACGAAGAATTTTTACTAAATACTGCTTAAAACAATAACTATAATATACAAATAAAAATAATTGCAATGATACAATAATAATGAAATATATTAATACCAATAATAATAACAATAATAATAATAATGATAGTGATATTAAAATAGTAAAGTTACTGTTAATAATAACAATCATAATAATACCATTGAACATATTATAATATTACAATACAATTTCTATTTTATCATAGTAATATAAGAAATTTTCACTGGCATTTTTTTTCATAGTACCGTGTACAAAATTGAAAGACAAAATATAGGCAAAATAACATGGGGTTACTACGGCATAAATAGAAGCATGGATGCAAAAAAAACTTTCATCATTAGTACCAGAAAGTAAACCAATTAACTTGTAACTGTTTTTTTCATTTTCATTGCCAGAAGAACAACTTTATTGCATGTTGGATACATTAAACAGATTTCCGAATATTCTCAATGGTCTCTCAGATAAAATGAAACTTAGTTTTTTAAAGGGGTTTAGATTATTTTTGACTTACCTCAGCAAGATCATTAGAGACCAGAAAATGCGCAAAATGCCTGCCTATAAACCCGCAGCCTACCGATGAAAGGAAATGAAGATGATATCAATAGAAAGGATTAATCAAAAGATGATTATGAGTATAGATTATAGGCCTATTACCTTCTGGGAAGGAACAAAAGGTTAGTTAATATCTGGCCATGAATGATAACAAAGAGATTACAGGAATCAAAGAATATGCTGTAAATATTATAGGTCATAGTAAGTCCTTATTCATTTGGGCCTCAAAATGCTGGAGAACAGAGCAGTGACACTGGTTCCCCCTGCTGTCTTCTCTTTGTCTCTGTGGCTGTTTGCTTTTGTTAGTCTTAGGATATTTCTCGGTTTTTTTTTGTTTTTTGTTTTTGTTTGTTTGGTTTTTTTTCTGCTTCCAAGACTTTGCATTTCAAGCGCATAGAGACTATTCTAATATGCGCTTAATAAATATACAACCATAATACCATTATCACAAATACAAAATTATGACAAAAGATTATGCAGATGACATAAATACCTAGCAATAACAACAATAATAATAAAGTAGAAATATTTTATTTTGTATAGTCAATACATCTTATTAGCAAAATAATATAAAAATATATTCAAAATAAAAAAATAACAGAGATAATTAACAGTAACTACGAAAATTTTTATCAAAACAGCATACTAAGGATGGCAACAGCAGGAGAGGCAGTGACAACGATGAAAATGACGATGATATATTTAACTGACAAATGATGCAGTGGCAGATCCAGGGGGGGTTCAGGGGGTTCGGACGAACCCCGCCTCTGTGAAGAAACGTAACAAAATACTACTGGGTGCTGGATCACAAAAGGCATGCTAACCTACCTAGGCATAGTTTGGCAGATCAAACAAACTAGGATTAGCCCAATTAGTCTTCAATTAAATAAATTATACACACTGTTTTTAGTTCGACGTCGTAATAATTTATGTACGAAGCCTATCGGTTCATTGATCCATGGAAGGAAGACTACATATCTACAGTAACTACTCAATATAGTTGGAATATAATAATACATTTCCTGTCTTGGATTTTTTTTCTCTATGTATAGGCCATAAGAATGAAATAAAATTACCTGACCTTTTTCAAGAGGGGACCCTTGAGTTTGAAGAACTTAAAGGTCATTAAAAGGTTCCTCAGAAGTCGGGAGAGCTAATTTCCGGCCATTTAGGAATCAAAATTTTCCCGGAGGAGGACCTCCACCCCTTTCTTTTTGAGATTTTGGAAACATGTTGAACCCCTCTATTGTAAATCCTAAATCTGCCCCTGTGATGTATATTTAATTTTTACTGTTCATATTTGCGATATTTTAATGAGTTCTGGGAAACCATTCAACAGTTGATTAAAACCGCAATCGCACTGGATTTAAAATAGGGAAATTTTTACCGAGACTGTGGGTAACATTCCAATGGGTAAACTTCCTGTCGTTCGCACTGGGATTTATCGACGTGGTTAGTTTTACCACAGGCCATGGTGAAACTATCCATTCGTACAGATTCAACTATTGGGGGTGCTAAATCGTGACGTTGACGCTCACGTACGACAGATCGTAACAAGCTAAACCGCCGGGTTCTCCTTCTTGTTGTGACAGTGTTTCTTTGGACTAGGCCCACATCATGTTGTATTTGTTGATAATCGCGATGGATTGTCTCACCAAGACCTAGCACATTTATTAATGCTACATATAAATCGGCCATTGAAACAAACCGAGTAAACAAGTGAAAAAAATGACAAAATTACTCAAAATCAAGACACTAGCAAACACGCGCGAAATTAATCAAGATGTTTGTGTGTGACGTTTTATTCCAGGTCACAGCTCATGCGTAATTGCCTGACAGCCTGAGGAAGGTCATTCACTGTGATGACTTGGGAAGTTTACCCGACTCGCGCTGTTCGCATTGGACTTTCCCGCTAGGTAAAACTAACCTGGTCAGTTTTCCTGGGCAAGCGGGACTCGGTTAAATTAACCGCGCGGCTTAGGTAAGTTTCCTGTCAGGTAAACTTCCTGTGCTGTTCGCACTGGACTAATTATGGTAAAACTAGCCAACGTGTTGGTTAGTTTTACCAAAAAAAGTCCAGTGCGATTGTGGCTTTAGTTTTCTTTTTGGTTTTCCTTTCTTCTTCTTGTTTCTCATTCTGTTCTGGTCTTTTGCATGTTTTTTAGAGAGATATGAAAATTAAATGAAACCCCCCCCCCCACTCCTAAAAAAGATAAAACCTCCCTGAAAAAATACTGAGAAGAAACAGATCTCAATAAACCAATAATGTAAATAGTGGTTTTATGCTGCAGCTAAAATTATAATCACTATCTTCTGAAAACATTAAAACATAAAAAGATATCAAGAATAATATCTTCCTTTTCAAGATTAAGATTTAAGAATCCATCTATTGTCAACAGTACAGCACACAGTACATACAAATTTGTTTTCCAGAACAGGGAATACACCAAATACAGTGCAAAAAAAAAACCACTTAAATTACAGTTAAATTAATAATATACAATATACAGTACAGTGAAAGATGATCAAGTGAGTTGAACGTCGTAGAGGTACATGAATGATGAATGATGCTACCAATCTTCATTGGTTTAGTAAGCACAATATCTTTCAATATATCGCGCTAACTTTGGTGCTGCGTTAATGAGTAGAAAACCCTTAGTTGTTTCAGTGAATATTCATGATTATTTTCAATCTTCTATCCCCAGGTATTATCCGGTTTGATCGTCACCAAACAGGTTAGCAAATATAAGACCCTGTCACAAAAAAAAAACGAGAACTAGGGATCTAATAGAATTATGCTAAGCTATTCTCAAATCCCTAAACCAGTGTACTTCTGAGAACTAAGTCACACTTCGCTGCCCTTCTTAAATTTTACTTTTTTTTGGATTAGCACTAAAATCACCGAGCTTGGCTATAAACCACACTGAAAATGATAAACATTTTGCTGGAAAATAGGCAAAAATAGGCCTATTCTGGGAAGGAGCAGCGGGAGTGTGGGAATGGAAAGGTTCGATCTCCGGCACAAAAACTGGGGTGATACACCTGGACATATTTAAAATATTAATTAATTAAAATGATTAACAGGGTTGTTATTTCATTATAATATGTGCACATAAAACATAATCTTCCACATAATATGCTGGTATTTTATATAGTTTGAATATTAATTACATTTAAATGTCAACAAACAACAAACAACTTTAACAACATATTGTACTGACGGTGAATGATCCGAGTGATTATTTATTTTCAAAACCTATTAAGTTGCATTTCCCTCTTCACCTGGTATCAATGTACAAGTTGTAACCCAAATCACACGTTTAATCCTTTCTCGAACACAATACATTCATACGTGCAATAGTATTAATATACCCGAAATTACTAGTCTAGCTAGACCACTCAACCATACAGTTCTGTACACTGTATAAATTGCTCGGGAGCCCACTGGGCCCAGCATCCATCCAGGATAGTACAATACAATTATCATCAGCAGTACCCAACAAAACCGGTAAGCTACGGAGTAGTTTAGAGCACACAAACGAAACCACATTTCAAAGTGTCGAAGTCTATTACTTCAAATGATCTTAATTAAAATATCATAAGTTGCAAGCAAAATAAAATGTTTACTTTACCTCCAAGTATTAGAACTTTCATAATGGTTTTGTTATGACCGTTGTTTGTACACGAATGCTGGATTGCACTGCCGACGAAGAACCAGAAAAATGTGTTATCTGGCTGCAATGTTTTTATATACCGCCCTCAACGTTATATTTTGTTTATTATTATTATTTTTGATACGAAAATACTGTACGCTTTTCAACAGGGGGCACAAACCAAAAGTTTTTAAATCATAAAAAAATAGTAAACTATAGTTTTAAAAATAGCAATAAAGGAAAATAATACTAAGGTAATCGTTTTTACAAAAGTACAACATGATTTATTATAAATTTTTGGTAATGTTGGTACGTAGACCTACTGTAGTAGCTCATGCAACATAAGCTATTTCAAAAATAAATCAATGTGCAATGAATTACATGATATTTTTTTCTATTTGTTTATAAATATATATGCATATATACAGTATATATATATATATATACAGTATATATA